TCGAAATAAGCGCCTTTCAAAACCATTGATACGTCCTTTAACTCTATTCTACATGTTTTTTTTTTTTTTTTTAGATGTATTATTTAGAAAACAAATACACAATTTATCATGAATTGAATGTATTATCAGTGAATGCATATAAAAATGGAATATTATAGTTACGAACCAGACGATCAGTACAAGACACCGAGTATCTATAGCCGGCAGCGCTCGTAGCAGAGTGAGTAAGGTACTTGACTCACATGCAAGGAGGTCGGGGGTTCCAATCTCTTTATTGGAAAATGTTTTTTTTTTTTTTTTTGATTGTAAAAGAAAAACATTGAAAGTGAAATGAAAATGAAATTGAAATTTGTTTAAAAATTAATTGCTTGGGAGTGTCAGGGGGAATGGTGGGCAAAGGTGTGCAGAAGAGTAACACGGCACGGTTGGCAGATATACATATATAGTGGGGAGAGGGGAAGTGTATAGGAAACAGTAGGTGAGGGGGACGGGGTAAGGAGGGAAACATGGGAGGAAGAGACTCTGGGTAAACCACTTTCGTTAAAAAAAAAAAAAACTGTCGGTTTTAAAATTCCAGCCCCCTGAGTAACGCAACATAAAGAACTTTGTTCTAAAAAATTAGACAAAATCTTTCGAAAAAAAAAAGGTATACGTCCCAAAATCATGAAGACAATGGAGACTAAGGAGAAAAATAATGAGCCCTGCCTCCCAGAGGGAGAACTTTTATTTAAAGGACGTCAGATCGTAGATATAGACATTCTCGCAAGAAGTTTGTTTTGTTCACATTGTACCGAACGAATTTATTTGGAAAATATTGACGAGGAGAAACAGCATGGTGTATTATCCACTTTTAAAATTAAGTGCTTAAAATGTTGTGCTGTAACAAATGTCGAATTTTTTAAAAAACACCAAGTCCCAGCAGAGCTGATTCCACCCCGACAATTAAAAGAAGTTGCGAATCAAAGTGTCACCAACGAGATGTTGGTTCTTGGTCATAAAAAAGTTATATTGGTCATTAAACAAGTGTCATAATGTTAATATTTTTAATAATATAGGTAGCATAGAGGTTAAAATTGGCTGCAGAGAGTTGAATCGGCTTTTAGCATGTTCAAATATGGCGTCAATCGACCACAACTTGTACGCAAGATATTTGACTTCTGTTGGAGCTGCAATAACAAAAGTTGCCGAAGAAAGTTGTGCTAAAGCAAGACAAAAAGAACGTCGGTTGGTTATTGAAGATAGAAAAGACCTTCGTATGGAATTGTGAATTTCAGATTGTGTAAAATTTTTGTTTATTTTGCTCAATGTTGACAGAATTCTTTAATACGTATTTTAATTTTTTTGTTTTTTTAATTGAGGAAGAGAAAAAAATATTATCATCGTAACTAGTATTTTTCGTAAGCTTTATCGTATATTTTCTTTATCTATACACTCACTATATTGTATACTTTTATTTTATACTTAACTGTATACTTGTTTCATATATACACTTGTTTTATTGTATATACTTTTATTTGATTTTTTACAATGTCGTTTGTAAAATATTTCATATTATGTGTCTTGTACAGTATACATTGCTACATTTATTATTAAGCAAATAAAGATGTACAAAACGTAACATGTCTAATAGAGAAAAAAATTCAATTTATTGCATGACATTTCACAGCAGCCTTCTTTTCTATTTCTTATACAGTCAAGAAGAAGTGACAAAGAAAATATATCCGGAGATGATGGCTGCCATTGAAGAAGAAAAAAAAGGTAGTATCACCGGATTCGATGCTCACGTCCTTGACGTAATAAATATTATAGTATCTTACGACATGGGCTGGAGTAGGAGAAGCACCGGCAAATGTAACGACTCTTTGAATGGGTACGGGGCAGTTATTGGTTTGTTATCGGGCAAAATGTTGGATTATCGCACTCGAAACAGGAAATGCACAATGTGCGAATATGGCCATGATCTGACTGATCACGGTTGCCACAAAAATTATACAGGTAGTGCCAAATCGATGGAAGGTGACGTACCCGCTGAGTTAATAAATGACAGTATGTCTTTAAAAAAATCACAAAATCGAAGTCAGAGTCGTCATTGGAGATGAGGACGCTGTAGCCATCGACAAGATGAGTAAAGAAAATAAAAAAAAAACATTTAAATTTGCAGACAGGAATTATCTGAAAAAAAATTTTATCTAGAAATTGTATGAGTTACGAAAGAAACACAGTGAATTTGAGACAAAAAATGTCATCACACACGTGAAGAAACTTTTTAATTTTTCTATTTATCAAAATGATAGAAAAACGTTGAAATTAAAATCAACATTAATTTCCCTTCCAGATCATTTATTTGGTTTACATATTACTTGCGGTATGTGGTGTGCTAGTTCTCGAATTTCTAAGGTTAATTTTCGGAAGTTCAATGCTGTCACTTTTAAAAGCCAAAAATTGTACACTGATATAAAAACTCTTTTTGAAATTTACGCAGCTAATGCTCAATTTTGCATAACAGCTATGGGTCGACGCAATGTATGCTTGAACAGCTTCATAGTAAATCATTTTCCAAAACATGAAAACTATAGTTGTAGTAAACAGGGTGATATGCGTGTCAGTACCGGAATTATGCATTTTAATTTTGGATATAAATCACTAGTACGAGTGAAAATATTTTGCAACATTCAGGTGATAAAAAAAAATAAGGGAGGGAGAACTAAGATCAAAAAAAAAGTACAAGTGTAAGAGAAGTCTGAATCACAGTATTAGATAAAGTTGTCGAGTCAGAACTGAAGATGTCGAAGGTCCGAGCTACGAGTCGGATCTTTCAATGACTAATGTTTAAAGCGAAAATTTCGAAAATTTTACAACTACAGTAATTGGTGATTACGTTGTTGCATATGACGACTTAGAAACGACGAACTTTAATATAGATTCTTGTGATATAATTCAAATTGCTGCCAAAACTGGAGAAGCACAATTTTCTGTATATGTTACACCGACTCAAAATATCGACACAGAAG